CCCCCCCCCCCCCCCAATGAAAAATACTTTTCTACGCCACTGCTAATGAAAATGATGCGTTACTGTTATTTTTGCTGCCACACACAAGTAGTAGAAAAATAGTCTGTTAATATTGTTCATGTTGACGTTTTAAGAACACATTCTAGAATACTGTCTATTAATTAATCTATTTTTATCAAAGAAACATTTACTTACAAATAGCATTACCACCTCATTATAATCTTTATATTTTGTTTATGTCCTTAAAGCTTAACGATCAATATACAATCCAGCACAATTATATAAGATCTTATTGCTCGCCTAAACACTCTTCATTGTCAGGTAAACTTGGTGCGACAGGTTAGTATTGAGTTGTGGAGCAGACAATCTGTGGATAACCAATGCCTCATCGCCGCCTCCATCATCTACAGTTAATGTCTTTGTCGGGAAGGTAAGCCGATGGCCAGCTGTATTGTATTTGCAGCATGCCCTAACAAAAGAAAGAATTGTCTCCCGAGATTTATCGGAGACAAAAAATATGTTTCTATACATTCTGGGTTGCGTGTTAAAGTGTATTCACATTATAGCCTTATAGCAGGCCTATCAATATCATATAATTCCATAATAATAATAATAATAATAATAATAATAATAATAATAATAATAATAATAATAATAATAGCAGCAACAGCAGTAGTAGTAGTAATAGGCCTAATAAAAAAAAATAATAATAATAGAAAAATTACCATTATAATCAATATCGTCAATGTCATCTTTAAAGTAATGATAATTAATAACAAATATGATGATAGAACGAGCAAAATTAATATCATACCGAGTAATCAATATCGGCATTATCATCTTTGTTTGTAATAATAATTACGGTATGTTAATAATAATAATAATAATAATAATAATAATAATAATAATAATAATAATAATAATAAATGCGAAATAATATTACGGTATTATTTTTATATAGGCCTATTACCGTATTTTATTAGGTCTATTTTCAAAATTATTTTGTAACAATAACGGTATTATTCAAACGTGTCCCTCGTTGCTCCTTAATAATATCATTATTTTCATCATCACCATTATCATATCAGCATCCTCGCACATTGTGTTTGTTCATATTACTAAAACACTCGTAAACTTTAGTCAATATATTATACACTAGGCCTACATTTTAAGAATGATTACCATTTATTACATCACTTAAAAAGCGACAATCATCAATTTGATTTCACAACTAATAAAATGTATTTAAACTTCAAAATCTGCTCCATTGACTAGCTATTAAAAACAGACACACGCCTAGATTACCCATCAAAGAAACTAAACAGCTGCGATCGACAAAGCAGTTTAGCCATTAAAATGCACAACACACTAATTTCGTGTGAAACCTATCACTTAATTTTTACGTTTATATTGAGATTCTATAGGCATGTCTGTATTTCTTTACATTTCAAATTTAATTTAACTTTATGGTTGGAAATGCACGCAATATAAACGAGTTCAACGAAATGCAGATTGTTCTATAAAGCCGGACACTCACTGCGTCGGCCGACTCAGCCGACGGCATTTCATGGAGACGATTCGCGCGCGATGGACTGCATTCACCGACCGACGATCCGCTCATAGAATACCACAGGCAATTAGCAGATGATGACTCGTCGTCAAGCGATCATACAGATCGGAAATATATTCTTCGGCTGACGCAGTGTGTCTCCGGCTTAAGATTATGTATATCCGATAACGTAGGCCTAGGCCTATTATGTTTAGGGGCATATCACGTGCGCTGACGTGTCCTGTATATAGCTTCTCGTCATCATGTTTCCTGTTACCGCACATCTAAAAGAAAACGAACAATACGAAAACGACAACGAATTTCAAAGGTTTGAGTCAGTATCCATCCTCTATCACAGCATAGGCCTACATTTTACATTGAAGAATCATAGATCAGAAAAGTAGATATCATAATCTTAAATCATGGGCCTATTTAACCTATTAATATTCTGAAGAAGAAATCTATGATCATGATATTATATAATTTAATTTTTTGATAATAATAATAATAATAATAATAATAATGTAACTAACTGCACTGTACTCTCCCATGTCAAACACTTAGGGCTACAGGCAATATCGTTAGCAGTATGTCAACAGAACAGTAAACAAGTAAGAAAAAACGGAGATGCGACTTCGACTAAGTTCGTTGTTGTTTCCGTAAGGATGCAACAGCTACCGTACCCATTGCAGGCCTGTCGTACTTTTAAAAGCTTTCGTTACCTTTAAAATATTCATATCGTATGACAAAAAATTTATAGCATTATACATTATCTGTTTATGGATACAGACACCTAGAGCTTAAAGTCTCAACATCAAGGTAGATCTACGTTGGTGAGAGATCTAGTATAACAAAAGTCAAATTTCAAACCCACGAAACAACTTTAGCATGAAAACGGACAACCCTTTAACAGTTATTCTATCCTAGATGTCTAATTTGAATGTCCTCGGTGGCCGCTGTCTACTTTCGTAAGGAGGAATATTCCGTCGGCGAGATCCCTGGCCGCCTCGTTTCTGAAGAAGCTGTTTGACGATTTCTCCGTCAGATTCGCCAACTTCGTTAGATGACTCTGATTTGTATATTAAGTCAAGCGCCCGCTCTGTGAACTCCGTCCGTAAAGCGTCAAACCAGGAGCTGTCTTTGTATTCACGTATATCAAATTCTCTTTCATCCATCATAGCGTGAACGTAAACTGCAGGTAATAAGACCCCTACTGACACTATGAACAGGATTACATATCGACTGGTCTTCATCTGGGGTAGAAAGATTGATAAAATTAAGATATGTACTCTTCAACGTAAAAATATATAAAATCTTAATAATAAAAATAATAACAATAAACAATATAACAAATATTTTTTTCCAAAAAAAAAATCTTGAAAGATTGCTAAACAAACGATTTGTCTCAGGGGTACGCTAGAGTTGGTTTTTCAAACCTAATGTCGTATTTTTACCCCTCTCTCACTCATTCTGTGTCTTTGAGCAAGATACTTATAATCCGAATTGCTTCTCTCTACCAGGAGTATTATAAATGGGTACATGACGCCACCTAAATGCTAATTAACACAACATAAAATAAACCTTTGATTTGTTGTCTCGTCGTGAAAAGCCGTATTGAATGTGTACCGTAGTAACGTTGGTAGGAAGTACATTCAATAAAGAGCTGAGCATTTAATATCTTGTATCATTTATTGGATGATTGCTCCGTAATTGGGGTGCAATTTGCGAGTGCTTTATTACCACGCGACGTGCGTGTCCACGGGGCGACAATACGCATTTTAGCTGATGACAATCAGTAGTTTAAGAAAAGAAATCTAATGTGCGACGACATGTCATTAATGTCACTAGTAAAATTTAAATCACAGACAAAGTAATTTATTTTAGTGAATGAGTACTGTTGTGAAGGATGAGCACCAATTTGGAATTTGGTCCTAAAATGCCGTCGTATTTGTTCTTCTCACAAATTAAGCTGCTGAGTAACGCTATATTGAATTGCCCTGTGTACAATGACAGTTCCATTTGAGTCAATTTTAAATGGGACTGCATCCATCTGCCAGGCATATCCATAAAGAAGCACGTAGCTAACGTGCGCTAGGTGAATGTTGCTAAGCTTGGTTTACACTGAACATTATAAATTCCTACCGAAGTTTAGCAGAATGTCGTTGAAAACAATTAGTAATAATCACAACACGACATTTGTATAGAGCCTCTATACGCTTTATATAATTACACCCAGTTACCGGACCAAACGCCTATAGTTATGGAACACATTCTTAGCTCTCCGGAGAACAAAATTCCATGTCACTAAAATCAGCGCTTGGTATTAGATTCTACCAAGTACCACTTATACTCCTGGGCGGAGATAGACAAACGTGATAAAGTGTCCTCTCTCCCGACCTTAAGGCTGAGAGTCCGAGCCACCACCGCCGTGTTGCGCAGACCGCTTTCACATAGGCCACTTTCATACAGATCTACGTTACCGCGGAAATCTTCTCGGCATTGCCCTCTGTATGAATAGGTCAAGGCTAACCGCAGCCGCAATATTGGGGGTTACGCGGCGTTCTATCTCAGACCTAGTAATATCTGGGGCGGATGCAGGATTTGGCGGTAGGGGGTGCGTGAGGGTCCACCTCAACTGCAACCATTATGGTTGAGCCTGAGGGAATAGAAAATTTTGAGAATAGGGACCTCTCAGGCGCGGATCCAGAGTTTTAGCTCGGTTTCCATAGAATCGCTCACCCTATCGCCGACAGTGCCTTCCCGATTGCGCAGGGCAGCTAGCAATGCACCCTGATTCGTCTGCGTCCGCAACACAATCGGAAAAGTTGAACCAGGTTCAACCTTCCCGACAACTGTCGCCGATAAGGTGAGCTATTTTATGGAAACCGAACTTTACCCTGACTATCGCACATTATGGGGTCCCTGAGTGGGCGGGGTCATGGGAAGAGAACGTAATGTTTGCTTGTTCTGTCGCTGGAAGACTATTTTAGACGTGGGGCTGGGGGAAGAAGTGGTTTGCAGTAGTTTTGGGGTTCTCCTAGCTTCGGAAATTTTAGTTTTCTAGATGCTGAGAAATTCACTTATGTGCATTCCGAGACTTCTATTGATGAATGAATACACACTGAATTCATAGTTTTCCCCATTTTACCATGGACAATTAATAATTGCGATGATGAAGATCATGATGATGATGATGTGATGATGATGATAAGGAGGAGAAGGAAGCATCGTAGCAGGTGGCAACATGCTCCTGCGCAAGGTTAATTAATAGGCCCCTTGATATGAGTGTCAACAGAGGCCCGTATCCCGAATTCGTCGTCACATTTTCCAAAGCACACAATCGGACAACAGTAATTATCTACAATTTATATAATCAGTAAATGTTAAATCCAAATTCAATAAAAAAAAAAATAGATAAATAAAAAAATACGTTTTCTGTGCACGCGCCGACGTGAAATGATTAACCTAATAATCTTGTTTATAGTGCGGTTCTAAAATTAATCTTAAAAAAAATAATAATAATGCATTTTTATTGTACCGCCACCAGCTGGAAAGCAATTAATTATGCATAAATGTCTTGGAGTATATTCACGTTCCATGATAAATTACATCCACAGGCCGGGTGCCCCTAAGTCAAAATTTCAAAATTGAAGAAATTGCGTTTTTCCGAATCACGGCATACTGAGTAGATTAGGCCTACTGGTTAAAATGTAAAAAATTCAGATTTTATTTTTAAATCACAGAAATTCACAAATTTATCTTCAGTACATTCTCGACTGTCTTGGAAATGTAGAACTTTTCAAATTTGGTTGGGTGCGTTATACACATTCTTAGTAACACCACACCAACTGGACGGGCCTGGAAACTTTACATTTTACTTTCCAATTAATGCAGTATTATACGCTTATTAGATAGCTTCTCAATTTCTCAGTATTTTAAAAAAAAAAATCTTTTTCCACTTCCAGCTTTGTGTGATTTGAAATTTACATACCATTCACGTCAATGCTTTTTTTCCGTGTTCATTTACAGTCTCTCGGTGCTCGGTGGTCATTTTTGACTTTCTTTTAAGATGTACTGTATCAAAGTGTGTTCGTAAGTTTTAAGCTCTAGATATACAATAGGCTGCCAAATCTATTAAAGACTTGTTTGTTTTGTTTTGTTTTTGTTTTGTTTTTGTTTTTTTTTTGTTTTTTTTTTACGAATAGCATTCGTTAAAATGATGAAATAATAATTTATCAAGCAAAAAGTAATATTTAAAATAATATGTTTTCGCTTTGGTGTAATTTTGGAATAATAAAATTATATACGCCTTTCAATAAGGTTATAAGAATCAACGCACATGTATAGCCTATCCTCCCTGTAACTGATTTTGTATTAACCATAGATTGTGAAATAAATCATAATAATAATAATAATAATAATAATAATAATAATAATAATAATAATAATAATAATAATAATAATAAAAGAACTCAATAGTGTACCGTACGTTATCGCGCAGCCGATTTAATTACAGTCCCTCTTTGATTAATACTTAGACAATGCAAAACATTTATTTTGTCGATATATTTTTTGTCTTTGGTTTAGGTTGGTGGCATTTCTGACAGAAAGAGTTGGAATTCGCCAGACCACCATGCAGTGCTATCACTTTATATTGGCGAACGGTGCGAAGGGGTCTGGATCCGCGCCTGCCTCTAGGTGCCCGGATTTGCACTCTCATACCTTACAACAATACAATACAACAATTATTTTTCTTAATACAATTTAGGAGGTGCGACCCTCTGTACTCCCTCTGCATCCACCCCAGACCGCAATGTTGCCGTTACGGTGCGTTCCGGCGTGTGTCTGAAACGGAAGCAGATAGCATTCCCGCAATATTACTCTTTAGGCGAGACTTTTTATAAATTATTTAGCGAACACTCCGACAGCCGATAATGATAATTTCGAGTAAATATAACATTTTATTTTTGTCCAGTTTGCATACCCTCGACAATCCGAAAAATGGAAATTACATTTTTAGAAAATCATATTTTTTTATTTATTCTTAGTACGCCCTCTGATCACCTGAAATCTCCAAAAATAAGTTATTTCTTCCTTAATTAGGTCTATATAGATTTACGTATTATCCTTTCTCGAACATTTAGTTGTTGTTGCAGCATGTAGGTGCAGATGGAAAATATTTTGTACCGGTACTGCACATACCGTACCAAAGTTAGAATAACGTCAAGGAAATTCCTATAAAGTCTAAAATTCCTATAAAGTCTAACCTTCCTTTACGATATTTTTTAATGTACTTGCATTTGCGCATTTTTCTATAAACATAACAATTATGTGATGACTAAAAAGATTAACCAATGCCTCTCTCAACGTGCGGGATCCATTCATACAGAAAGGCGTTATATGTCAGTGAGTGTAACGGTATTATACCGCAATATTTCCAGAGCCTCTGTTTGAAAACGGCTATAGTGTTGGCTGACGAAGCGGTGTGCTCTGGACAACAAACGCCGAGAGTTCTTAACATTTTCATTCTCATCCAAGGGCGAGTTGCTTATAAGCTAGGCCCTTGATGAATATAAAACTCTAAGATGTTCCATAAAAATAATCAAATTATGATGCTCCAAAGATGGAGCTCTTTGTTTGGCATTGCAAAGTCTTACCTTAATTAGGTTAAAGTATTTATCGTTGTTAGAATTTACATTATGGTCTTTTATCAATAGCGTATTTTAAACTAGTTATACACCAGATTCTATTTAGGCCTCTTATTCTAGTTTAAATTTAGTTTAGATCTAATCACTTTCAACCATTTTATCTTGTTGATTTCACGGATTCTATCAAGATTGCCTAATTTCATGGCAACAACGGTAATTGTATTAATTATATCACAATATCTATAGTATTTACGCTTTTTTCACTCACTGCTAAGTTCTAGCATAAAATAATACTACAAATACATTGTTCTACACCATAAAATATTCCATGCAAGGTGCATTAACATTCAGAGCAACTTTAATCAGTTGCCTTCCTTTTTAATACTCATTATGTTGTCTTACCTATTTTTAAGATCTTGTTTGAGTAAAAGTAAATATTTTTGCATGTGTTCCCATCCAATTAAAAATGTTAGGCCTACTCTCATACATAATTCTTAAGTTTTAATCAGTAACCTTTTTTTGTCAGTACAACACTGGTTCTTTCCAGCACTGCTTACTCAGTCAAGTTTTACTTAGCATTCCAATGCTTAAAAGAATAGTCTTAT